ACCCTGCAGATTTGCCCCATATTGAAGGAAGGGAAGTTGGCATTTAAATCCATTGAATTGACCAGTCACTGGATGATGACTTCTTGGTTAAGAGGGATAACTTTGGCAAGAATACTTTCTTCAAATGAGAATGATTCCAGAGGGGGCTTAGTTGATAACTGTCAGCTGCCAACACTCCGAACACCTGAGGAATAAATATTTTTTCTAGTAGCAAGGTAACTCTAGGAAGCCCCAACAGCATCCAAAACAGACCCTCTCCTCATGTCTCTTGGAACCACTTGTATAATATGTTAGGGAAGTATACCCTCCATAATTATGGTCAGCTGCTGTTTCTGGAGTATTTGCAAGTTGATGTTTAGTGGGATGAACTAGTTCTCACTGCTATGCCTGGTCAGTATCACACTCCTACAGTTGTATTCCTGTAAATGCTATTGATGGTATCTTTAGTCTACTGTAAAGTCTAGATTCCTCTCATGTTTGGCTCAAACTTCTACTCTTTCAGGGATTTACCTGATGGCCTGACTAATAAACTCATCCCTGAGTGATCTGAGTTCCTGGTCATCAAGCACTTCTTAGATCCTGGTTACCAACTTTTCCACTTACTGACAAAATTGGTCAAGGGAGAGATGCACATGTGGGTCACTGGAGAGTCTCACTGTGTAATATTAGTCCTATCATGTCCTGATGATCAATGTTAATTACCCCTGGGGGAAAGTGACTCCTTTTCTTGCCTATTGTTCTCTTGGAATGGGGAGTCTGAAATGACCAAGTGGTAAGTACAATTTTAAAGTTCAGTTGGACTCTTGTTCCCTAAAGGAAGCATTTTCCTCCTGGGAGCTAAGGCTTCTAAACAGAGCCCACAGTTGTATGGCTGGGAGGGCCAAATTCCCCAAATGTGTCAAGAAATGCTGATAAATGAGGCCATTCATACTTATGTATCTTGGGATTGCACACTCATGTTTTCTACTTATTAGAGGCAAAGAACCTCCTAATTGTCACTGATTTAATGTACACAGTATCCTGGCAGATGTTTCCCAGGCTCACAGGATATCATATCCAAATGGCACTTCAGCTGTACCTTCAAAAGCCCATCCTTTTGCCTAAGCCCAGTATCTTCTGAGTGCCAATTGGTACAACAGGTGATAGAACTCTTAGATCGTAAGTCATGCGTGGCAATTTTTTTAGTATAAAATGGGTCCCTTAATCCAATTCAGTATTATTTAGACTGTTGGTGAAGCAAATACTCTGTAACTCTTACTGGTTCAGCCAAGAACCTGAGTGAAGAAAAGATGCTATGGTCTGAATGTTTATGTCCTCCCAAAATTCATATGTTGAAATCCTAATAGGTAATGTGATGGTATTAGGAGATAAGGATTTGGGCAGGTACTTAGGTCATGAGGGTGGAGCCCTCATGAATGCAATTAGTGTTTTTATAAAAGAGATCCCCAAAAGATCCCTTGTCCCTTCCACCTTGTGAAGACACAGCAAGAAGGTGCCATCTAAGAACCAGGAAGTGGGACCCTGCCAGCCACCACAAAGAATCTGTTGGCACCATGATCTTGGACTTCCCAGCCTCCAGAAATGTAAGAAATAAACTTCTGTTTTTGTAAGGCCACCCAATCTGTGGTATTGTTACAGCAGCCTGACAGACTAAGACAAAAGGGAATCACATAGGTGCTGATTGTGGTCAGTGTGAATTGTTACCCCTTTTGGGGTTGAAGAAGTCCAATGTAATCTCTTTGCCACAATGAAGTGGCTGGTTAATACGTTTAAAGGCCAGTGACACATCGAGAGTTCATCATTGTTCCTTGTTGGTGGCGGGTTGGATAGATGGCATTTACAGTAGCTAAATCACTCTTGACACTTCATGTTCTCCATTATAATTCCATTCACATGACTCCTTGTCTTGATCTTCTAATACATCTCATTTTAGGCCTGGACCAACCAGTCAAGTCAAACAATTCATCTCGTTTGCATGCACATATGCGTGTGTGTGCGTGTATATATGTACATATATTACATACTTTCCTTGGGCTTCTGTTTCTTTGCAGAATAGAGGTCCAGACGCAATTAAAATATTGCCCATCAGGAAGATTTCCCCTCTTCACTGCCTTTCAAGGTCACCTCAAGCAAGGCTGTAGTATACCCAAAATATATTTTCAGCTTGCACTGACATACCAAGCCAATCTACATGCCATACTAAGCCAACCAATGTGTGAAACAAGTAAGGTCTTTTTCCTTCTTCATCTTCTGGTCATACTGGAACCCCCAAAAGGACACAAGTGTGAGCTGATGGAGGCACTGGTATATCACGGTAGAAGACATAGGGTCTGGCTACCTACTCGCATTGTTTACTCGCATCCTCCAATCTTGTTTGTGAACTGGATTTGCCACATTTACCTTACCATGAAATGCTGCCTGGCCCACCCAATATTATTACTTAAAGGGTGTAACAGAGTTTAGTTCATGATTGGTAGTTGTGGCCACATGGTTATTTGATGTTCCTTGGTCAGGCATTTCATCTCTACCACGTCTACTTCATCTCTACCAGGTGTATAATTTTCCTTTGCAGATGGCATGTTTTTTATCAGTAGACTAGGGAACCACCTTGTGATTCTCCTATTGGGACTTGCTATAGACTTGACACCATGTCTTCCTGTAATTCTAATACTTCTAACACACAGGATCTGCTGGACTGTATAGCAAAAAATAGCATGGACTTGCATTGCACACTGACCTTCTGCAGCACTCTTTTCTGTTCAGGTCACCACTCAGAGCTGGAGGGATTTTGGGTCATCTGGTATTTGGGTTAAAACAGTATTATCAATTGTGCACCACGGTAATTCTAGAACCTAAAGAGGTCTACCAAAGTTCTTTGCTTACTTTTCTTGTTATAGAAGGTGTAAGATGTAATAATTCATCTATTACTTTGGGGGAGTCATCTGGATACATCCATATCCAAAACCACTGGAAGCCTCATATTCTTACTGATGTGGAATGCTCCTGAATCTTTTTAAGCTTTACTCCCCACCCTCTGAAGTGCATGTGTCTTACCAACACTTTCAACCTTCTGGTCACTTGTTCTTTGGAAGAATTAACACAATGTCATGAATATAGGAGATCAATGTCCGTGAAATGGCCATATCTCTTCATAGCGTTTTATAGCAGAGGGAAGGAGAGTGGGGCAAGACCAGAAACGTAGATCGCCTAGGATCCCATCTATATGCAAACTGTTTCTGTGTCAGTTCAGTTCTGCTGAGAAGCAGATACCACAACATAATTATACAATGAATAGATTTATTGGGCAGGAAAATGTGGGCAGAGCCTTCATATCATGATACAGGTATTATTATAACTGCAAAAGCAAAAGAGGAAGAAAGGAGGATTGGGTAGGAAGAGTCTGTACTGCAATGAAGTTCTGAGAAATTCTTGGCCAGTTAGATGGAAACTCCCAGATGAAAGAATGCCCATTAGTAGAGTACCACATTGGGCTGGAATGACACAACTCCAGTCCCCTGTCACACTCACTCCTTGTCTGTGAGCAGACCTGGGAGAGTTCAGCCTTGTCATGAGCATTGCCCGGGGTCCAACCGTGTGGCAGCTAGAGAGTATCTACCAACCATGCTGCTCACAATAGGTTCTCTTCAAAGTAAACACAAACAACAAGATACACAAACCCCAAAATAAAGGGACACAAGGAAGCTTTGGGAGGTGTTGGATATGTCTATTCCCTTGATTGTGATGATGGTCATGTGTGTTTGCCTGTGTCCAAATTCATCTAACTGTACACCTTAAATATGTGCAGTTCTTAGCACATGAATTATACCTCAATAAAGCTTTTCTTTTTATAAAAGTAAGTACATCTGAGTGGCACAACTCTATGGTTGCCAAAGTCTACCCTTGATAAGTTTTTAATATATATTTATTGATTTCCTTCCTAAAAAACATGCAGTTTCTGGATGAGAGATCAGAATTATTTACAGCAATAGCACTATATTTCCCCTTACCCCAATCTCCCTGGGGCAATGCAAGGAGGGCAGTTGTCAGCTGCACATATAGGGCACTGTACTACTGATGAGGAGCCCTGATGTGACAAATCTGGGAGCTTACAGAGGAATTGCTGCACAGCTGCCAGCCTCCTCTGCTGAGACAGGGAGAAACCTCATTTCCCTAATGTAAGCAAATCTCTGAGAGAGGTCCCCAGGTTTTTACAACCCTTTGGAATATAAACTAATGGCTTGGGGTTTTATCCTTCTTTGAAATGTAAACACATAGCTCAGAAGAGATAAACCTATAAATCTCTCAGAAGTATTTTACTCTTAGGGTTACTACTGAACCATCCTGTAGCCTAGATTGCCTGTATTTTTTTGTTCTGAAAGCCCTGAACATTCAGAAGCATGAAAATATCTTCTCTACAATTGCATAGTTCCATGTGCTGCACAAATACACTTCTCCACATATATATGGGAAACAGATCCTCTACGGCTCTCACGGGCCTCACTTTCTCAGTTGAAATTTAGAAGAAGGAGGTTAGGGATATGCAAGCCCAGCTCTGCAGTCGTTTTCGGAGCCACAACTGGTTTCCATCATCTTCCTTCTTGTTATTTATTCTAAATTCTCACTCTTAGTTATCACCTCTGTGGGTTTTGGTGATTTGTATAGTGATGGTACTCAAACCCTCATTCCTGAGTGATCTGAGCTCATTGTAACCATTCTCTTCTTAGGCTAGGAACGCTGTTCATGTACATTCCCAATTACAATTAGGCAACAAAAATACTAAAGGATGCTGAAGTGGAGCACCAGGGTTACATATTTATTCCTTCCTGTCCCCACCATATAAAAGCATCCCTACCTCTTTCTGCTGGTCAGAAGTAATCACTCTTGCTGCAACAATGACTTCTTTTCCTTTTTTTACTACTGTAAGCAGGAGGGGAATGGCGGAGGGCTGGACCCCAGGGCTCAGGGAGCTGAAGAAAGGGTTCACAGAGCCAATGGCAAGGCAGACATACTCTTTAATCACTTTGGCCAACAGACCCTGGGAGTGAAGTGCAACAGCTCCCCTTGTGGCTGCTTTTATATGACCACTAGACAAAAGTGGCAAACAGCCAGACAATGTTTACATTATTCAGGTTACATAAGATGTTTATATACATGGTCAGCACATGCGCTGCCTGCAGTGGACATGCTGAGTCACAACTGCCTGGAAGCTGCTCTGGTCTGATTGTCCACAGTACCTCCATCCCCCTTCACTCTACCCCCATTAGACTTCTGCAGTGAGCGGAGCCTGAAGGAGCTAAAGCCATACAGCCCAGTACCTTGGACCCACATTTTACAACAACAGTACAGAGAACAGCAAAGAACCGCTAAGAGACAGGTTATACCTCCTAATGTGGCGAGAGTCGACCGGCACGAGAAAGACAACTTAGACCACCATTTTTTCAGGGGATCTCTTGTCACTGTCTGGATCCATGAGATTTCCTTGGCCTGTTGCAAGGCATGTGATATGTTCCTTGCATTATCTGGTATAAACGTGCAACATTGCACCTCAATAACTGCACAGGTCCCCTCCTGTGCTGCAGTAAGAATGTCTAAGGCCATGCGGTTCTGCAACACAACCTTCCGGGTCTGGTCTACCGCATCAGTTAAGAGAGACAGGGCTCGGGTAGTATGATTGAGGGCTCGGGTGGTATACTCTGCTAAGGCAGTAACCTGCCACTCCACAGCAATAGTCTCCATGGATGGACTAAGAACAGTCAGGGGGTAAAACCACCAGGGCGTTTGTTTCTCCCGATGATAGCAGCCTTTGACCCTCTCCCAATTGCTAGGGAGCACATCCAAGGTGCTCCGAACAGTAGCCGGGAGGTAGGGCCACCCCCAGGTACAGCGCCCTGTCCAGTTGGCCGGGAGATAAGGCCATCCATAATGACCACAGACCCAGAGACTGCCCGCGGGCACTCTGTCAATGGGGACTGTCCCCACATACGGACGGGCATTCCACCAATATTTGGGCCGGGTCACTCGCTGGATCTTCTGACACAGTTCCTCGGGTACCCACCCTGCTATCGCATTCCCCTTCTGTTGCTCTATGCACAGGGGCACAGATGTGCGAAGCACAACAGCCTCCCCAGGTAACCACCCATAGCCATCCCAGAGGCTCGGGGTCACCCAAGGCCATGTATGTCCACGTTGTCGATGAAACTGCTGGTCCACCTGGCGCCTTCTTTGGTCCCACTGAGCATTGGCGGGTCCCCAGGAACGCAGCCAGTTCCAGTTCCCTTCTGAAGCAGGGTGGATGTGCCATGGCAAGCCTTCTGCTGCACTGCTAGGCAGTTCTGTGCACACCCAGCAGTTAGACACATTGGCCACCTCAGCATAGGTGTGAGCCCAGTCCACAACATTATTCGCCACACTCCATCTATGGGCGAAGGGACAAAGCAGTGATAGAAACTAGGTGAGGAAATCACATCCTTCAGGCAGAATGCAGGCTAGCCGCTTATCTTGAGACAAGAGGGTGACTGCCAACGGGGGCCTTCCCAGCCATTGATACCACACCTTTTCTGCCTGCAGAGGTGCTGCAAGCGCTGGCTCCACGTGGAGCAGTACAGGGGATCTCATTATTGGCCACATAGAGATCACATATGTCCCCTTTAGGATAGAACTGGCATTAGTCTGTAGCAGCCTGACAGTCACCCAAGGGATCCAAGTACTAGTCACCGACGGGGTGACATGTAAGTCTTGTTGTACTCCAAGGCCCCAGGGCACTAAAAGTGCCAACCACCTGCAGTGAGGAGCTTTTATCTTCCAAGGCCATTCCCATTCTTGTACCTCCCCCACATTGAGGCATGTTGGGGCTGGCAAAAGAATGTTTCCATTTCGGCCACAGTCAGGCTTTAGTAACTCATCAGTAGTTACTACTTGCAGCTGTAAGGGGGCTGCAGTGCCATGCAGCAAAGCCTCCACTGGGGCTGGTCCTCCCTTCTGAGGCTTTTCATTTAATGCCATCAGTACCTGCCACAAGTGAGTTGCCCAGCCTCGCAACCAGGGAGGCTGTACGGTTGTACATACACCCTGCTTTAAAAGCCCATTATACCTTTATATTACCCCGGCAGCAGCCAGGTTGTAAGGAATATGGAAAAGCCATTGAATGTCCATGGGACTGACCCCTGTTGGACTTCTTGTCCTGTGAAGTGTGTCCCCCTGTTGCTCTCCATGACCAAGGCCCATCATAAAGGGCACAGAGTACCTGCAGAGCCTGAATTGTCCACGTCTGATCTGCAGCAGCACAGGGCCATGCAAAGAGTAAACCAGTGGCTGTATCAACAACCGTAAAAGCATGCACAGCGCCTTTAGTCTTTGGTAATGGTCCAATGTAGTCCATCTGCCACTGGACCAAGGGCACACGCCCTCTAGCTACTTGCTGCTGTGTGGACACTAGTTTCCTTCTATTAGGAAAGGCCTGGGCACATACTGTGCATTCTTGACATGCTGTCATTATTTCGCCCCATGTGAGGGGTAGCCCCCAGCGCTTACCCACCATTCCCATGGTCTTGCTCCCTGCATGATTTAGGCATCAATGCAGCCAGTGTGCCACGTCTGCAGACGGGGCCCTTTCTAGCCACCTCACATGGGCCAGAGCATCAGCCTCATAATTCCCAGGAGCAGTCAGAGGCATGCGGCTGGGAACATGATACATTGTCACCTCTTTTTCATGGCCCAAGGCCCACAGTTCCTGCCACATGGCCCCTCCCAACATGGGGTGGTTTTCGGCCAACCACTGCTGAGTCTGCCACATGGATAACCACAGGGTTAATCCCCAGTACACGGCCCAGCTGTCTGTAGAAATAGCTAAGGGCCCTGGTTCACAGGCAACAACCATCCAAACAGCCCACAGCTCTGCCCACTGGCTGCTTCGGCCGGTACCAATATCAAACCAAATAGTGTCAGTGGTTGGCTGCACAGCTATGGCTGTCTACGTGGCAGCTTGAGCTCTATTAGGGACATCAGTATACTAAGCATCCTCCAGGATAGGGGGCTTCCCCTCAGCATAGGGCGTAGGCTCTATCTCTAGAGGAACTGTTGGAATCTGTTACCCTCACAGTGAGGAACTCAAATGGCCCTAACACCTGCCGTAACTTCAAACTCAGGGGGCTGCAGCTCACTGAGCTCCTTTGTTCCGCATAGGCTCCCAACTTTGACGAGGTTGGGGTCTGGGCCGTGCCAGACCGTGGATGGGTAACCCATGACTGGAGCCATCCATGAATAGGGTATGTGGTTCTCAGCTGGACAAGGGCCATTCAAGTGATAGCCTCACATGCTATCAGGGCGGCATAGGCGGCTGCCAACTGTTTCTCCACTAGTGAATAGCGTATCTCCACTCCTTTCCACAGTTGGGACCAGAACCCCACAAGGGTTCATACCCCACTGTGCCACTGCCACAAGCCCCAACCAAAACCCTCTTGGGTAACATGGATGTCCAATTCCTATGGCTGTCCTGGATCAGCCACCTGTAAAGCTTGTGCCTGCTGCACAGCACGCTTGGCGGCTTTGAACACTTGGTCTGCAGTGTCTGTCCAGTTCCACAGGGCTCCCTTCTTTACCAAGCCATATAGGGGTCTCACCACCTGGGCTAAATGAGGGATAAACACTCGCCAGTACCCCAACAGGCCCAGAAATGTTTGCAGTTGAGCTACAGTTGTTGGCAGGGGGTATGCCTGTATTTTGTCAATGACTGCCTCAGGTATCACTCTTGTCTTACCCGACCAGACAACCCTCAAGAATTTGACAGATAAGCCAGGTCCCTGGACTTTGGCATCGTTGGCTGCCCAACCACATGATGTCAGACGCTTCTGCAGGGAATTAGCAGCCTGCTCTAGATCTGCAAGAGAGTCAGAGGTTAACATAACATCATTAATGTAGTGAAATACAAGCACTGTATCACTATGAGCCCAAGCAGCCAAGTCCTGGGTGATAAACCCATGACAAATAGTGGGGCTGCGTGGGTATCCTTGGGACAAAATACAAAAAGTCCATTGTCTGCCATCCCAAGTGAAGGCTAACTGATCTTGACTCTCAGCAGGAATGCCAATGGAAAAAAAGGCATTAGCAAGGTCCACAACATAGTGGTATCGTCCCAGCCAGACTGTCAGTTGATATATCATATCACGCACTGAGGACACAGCAGCATGCAATGGAGGAGTCACTTTATTTTAATTCCCAGTAGTCTACAGTCATAGCCCCAAGCCATCAGGCTTCCTTGCGGGCCAAACAGGGGAATTATAAGGGCAGTGGGTGGATCGCACGACCCCAACGACTTCCAACTTTGCAACAGTCTGTGTGATCTCCTCATGTCCACCCATACACCCAGGAGGTGATAATATTGGGTGGTCACCACACGCCATGGCACTGGCAACACTGTGGCAGGTGATGTGTATTTCCCCAGACAACAGCCTTAACCACACGCATCCGCAGGCAGCACTCCCCCATGGTCGTCTGCAGGCGCAGTCATTGCAAGATGTCCACCCCCAGAACATACTCGGGATGGGAGACACATACACTGTGTACACTCTGGGCGGCAAATGGCCAATGCCAAAGGACAGACATGCTAGTTTCACTTTCACAGTATGACCTCCATAGCTGTCAGCATATGCTGGCTTCCCCGGAAACTTATCCACGTTGCCGTAAATCAAACTGCAATCAGCTCCAGTATCTACCAATGCCAGTACACGGTGTACATTGGTGGGGGACCACTAAATCACAAGTTCCACATGTGGCCTGCGGCCCTCCTGGGATCCCCCAAGCCGGACTCCTTGGCCTTCCCCCTAGTCAAAGAGCTACACACACGGGCTCCTCACCTGAGGGCTGCATAAAGTCCTGAAGACTTACCTGGCAACTCTTGCCAGGATTTTTCCCTGTCTTGCCAGAATTTCTTAACTGTCTTTTGGAACTGCTACTCAGACTTCAACTGGCACCACCAGGACAGTGTTCAGCTGCCGGCCTATTTTCGCCTGATCCAGGCCTGCAGCTAGCAGATTTACTTACATCTGGATGCAGGGGACTCGCTTGGGCCCCTTCTCCGCCAAGCGTGCTCTCGGCTTGGGCGCCACCAGCCGTGCGACACGCATGTTTTTCTCCTTCCGTCAGCCTTCTACATCGCCCAAAGTGGCCATCACAGTGGTCATTCAGGTATCTGGCGCCTCACATAGGGTGCCAAAACGGCCACCAAGGACCCAAAAGCATTAGACCTGGCCAAGTTAAGAACTGAGTCCTCCATCCCAGACGTAAAGTGCTCGTCATCGGCCCTGGGTATGAAGGTTAAAAATGGCCTGCCGCATTCCCAACTCGCGGATAACTTGCACCAGTTCCGCATATCTGCCATTGGCTTAGAGCCTCCAGGAGCTCCCAGGCGTTATGCCACACAGTCCGGGTGGCAGCCGTCACCCACACTGTAAAGAAGTGATTTCCCCTGCCCTTGACCCAGCCGGCGGCTATTCTGCAGCTGCTGCCGAAGGGCGGGGTGCAGTGTGATTGCGGCCAGTTTATCCATCTCGTCAGGGACACAGATTATACTATTATACTATCTGCCCCCTTATTCCACAGCCTCAGGAGCCAGGCCGGTATGGGCTCACCCGGCCGCTGCCTGTATTGTTGACACAAGTCCTGCAGTTCCGGCGCGTTTAGAGACTGTACGTCGTGAACTCTGTCACATTTGGGGCTCCTTGGGCAACATTGCCTGGACCTAGGGCTGCTTACGCTTTACCTTTGAGTGGATTACTGGCTGAGCATGGAGAGGGCGTGCGTCCTCCACGTCCCCGTCCTCAGCATCCTCGGGCTCGCGGCAAGGCGCCATTTCCATCTCCTGTTTTAACTGCCTCACTCGCGCCTCCAGGGCATTCTCCTTGGCTTGGAGTTTCCGTATGCGAGCTGTATCCCCGCAGGACAGAATCCATGTTGCAACGGTAAGGCTATCAAACACAGCCAGCCTGCCTGGCCCACGGGGAGCTGGGCCTTCTCAGGCACCTGTTCTCCTAGGTTAAGCAGAGCTGTCTCAGTGCAGACCGGGGTACCATCCACGGACTCCCACCCTTCCACAGGGGCCCAGTTCAACAGGACCTCTGCCACTGGGAACCACATACAAGTGGGTGGACACACGTCCGTTGCATCAGCCTCAGGAGCTGTAGGTCCACCCATCTCGGAATCCTGCCGACTATGCCAAGCGTAAGCAAGAGGGGAATGGCCAGCTGAGGGCTGGGCCACAGGCTCCGGGAGCTGAAGGGTGCATGGAGCCAATGGAAAGGCAGACATACTCTTTAATCACTTTGGCCGACAGACCATGGGAGAGGAGTGAAACAGCTCCCCTTGTGGCTGTTTTTATATGACCACTAGACAAAAGTGGCAAACAGCCAGACAACGTTTACATTATTCAGTTTACATAAGATGTTTACATACATGGTCAGCACATGCGCTGCCTGCTGTGGACATGCTGAGTCACAACTGCCCAGAAGCTGCTCCGGTGTAATTATCCAAAGTGCCTCCATATTTTCCCTTCAACTACACTTCGCTTTTTCCACATCAGATAGTGTTATGAATTAATACTTGTGGTGGGCTAAATAATGGCCCTGCAAAGATATCAAGTAATTCCTGAAACTTGTAAATGTTACCTTATGAGGAAAAAGGTCTTTGAGATGAGATTAATGTAAGGATCGAGATGGGAAGATTATTCTGGATTATCAGGGTGGGCACTACATACAATCACATGCATCCTTACATGAGTGAGGAGGAGGGAGACGACATACGCAGGAGAGAGAGCAAGGTGAAGACGGAGGCAGAGATTGGAGTGTTAAGACCACAAACCAAGGAATGCTGTTAGCCCTCAGAGGCTGGAAGAAGCTTGGATTGGATTCTTCTCTAGAGTCCCCTGAGAGAGCACATCTCTGACAACACTTGACTTTGACCAGATAATACTGATTTTGGACTTTGAAGAACAAATGTGTGTTTTTACAAGGACCATCGTTGTGGTAATTAGTTACAGCAGCCATAGGAAAGCAGTAAAATAATAATGATTAAAATTGTGGCCAGAAGAGGATATGGAATTAATGATGAGGGGAGCACGTTTCCTACAAGGAAGAGACTTCTGTTTTTTCTGCAACCAGGAGGCGAGTTCTTTTGCTTTGACAGAGACACAGAGGGACAATTTTGCAAATGCAAAGGTTCCATGAGAATCTGAGATTTGAAGACTTCTGGGTGCACACACAGAGATAACGCCACAGAAGTCTCAAAGTCCCAAACCTTCCTATCATAGCCCTGACCTTAGTGTAACATATTGCTGGGATTGAGAATACAACCTTCTCTGCAGCTCTGCTTCTGTCATAATTGAGTCTTAGCCCTGATCCTATGTATTTTCTATGTTCCAGCTGCAGGAAATTAGAGTCCTACATGCTGCCAAGGAGGCCATCTGGCTTTCACACTTAGGTTTTATTTGGAGATTAATCATCCTCAGCCTTTCTAAGGCATCACTTAAACTCAGTAGCATCTACTGGATTTCATAAAGCTATTCTTACTAATTCCTGTGTAACACTTAAAATCCTGAGCCATTGAACTTTCCAGTATATTCCTTTCCACTAGTCTTTTATCTCAGTTCAACAGCAATGGAATTTTAATAATTATACCACTCCCACAAGACATGAGCTATTAGTGATCCAACTACCATTAATAATGGGGTCTTCACTGCCAACCAGCCAACAAGCAGCCCAACTCCAAACTCTCATTTTTGATTCAGCTACTTTGGATGAGTCCTAGCTTGGACTGTCTATGGTCAGGTTCTCTGGGAAGCTGACTCTGAGACAGAAATTTACATAGAGGATTTTTTTTTTGAGGGGGGGCTACTCTCAGGATCTACCTCTATGTTTTTTTGTTTGTTTTTCAGACCACGTAACAGAATTAACCTAGCTTCTTTTCACCTGCTCTCCTGCCCCATTCTCTATGGCTCCCCTCTCTGAAGAAATCCCTCTTCCCCCACCAGAGGACCTGTCCCTGGTGGAAAGGCTGCTGGGAAGTTTAGTCCAAGGCCCTAATGGGCCTCCTCTGAGTCCTCTTCCAGCTGCCAGGTTAGCTCAAACCTTATAAATGTAGGATTTATAATGGTTGCAAGGTCTCTTCCATTTGGTTCTGCAATTAGTCCTTACCCAGGACACTCTGTAAAACTGAGAACCCTGGCTGTTCACTCCTTCTGCTCCCTCTCTGCCCTCCCTCACAGCATGATGTGGTAATGGGATTGTGACTATACCATCATAGGCCGTTCAGTTCATTCAGCTGCTCACTTGGTGGGGGAGGAGGGAGAAGAGGAGAGTGCAGTGGTCACAGCCAGACCACTTTCCCTAGGGCAGAGAGGCAGGAAGGAAACAGGCAATAGGCATACGGGGAGACGATGTTGAGGGCACTGTATTTCCCCTTCACAAGGACAAAACCACCTTTTCTTAAGTCTCCATCACAACCACCACCTGCCACCTCAGCCACACTTTTAAATCCTTTTTAAAAGAAAGTGAATTAGATTAGAAGGTGAAGAGGCTGGGAAACAGCTAGACGGTTTCTGGCTCTTATGTAAATTTGAGTCAAAGCTGGCATCAGAGATAGTTTAGAGAGACTGACAAAATGTTGGGAAAAGAAATTTTAAGCAATGTCTTTATGTTGTGATCTCTTTGTAGGACAGAGCTTTAGATTTCTTTCTTGATTGGAAAGTAATAGCTATGCAAGTAAAAACTGTCACTATTACACTTAGCAACAAATCCCCTGACAGACATCTGGTTTCTCTAAATATTCGGTGTCCCACTTAAGTCTGAGTAGGTAAATAGCTAGAAAGTGGAGCTGGCGGTGGGGATCTTCCTCCCTGAGCCAGGGAAGGGAGGAGGCAGGAGCAACTAGGTTTATAAACTGGGGTAGGAATGGCATTGGTCTGTTTCAGGAAAGGGATTTTTGTCCCGCACTAAGTTTGTTTTAATGGGCTTCAAAATTCTGTGAAAGACTTTTGGTTAAGTTGTTATTTAAAAAGCACTGATTTTAAAAACTAATGGCTTAAAATTGACACACACACAAAACAAATAGTCTACAAAATATTGTCCTTTCTTTTCGAAGGTTTTACTAAGTACTGGAAATTAATCAGTCTGTTACTATTAACCCAAATGGCCAATTGAGAGAGATCCTTCTGAGACCATTTTTTCTACCACTGATTAAGACTGGGGTGGCAGGTGTTATGGATAATATTCATTTCACCTTCTGAGTTTTCTGGGCAGATCTGGTGACTTGCCAGCTCCAGCAGCCTTCTTGCCCACTGTTTTGATGATACCCACAACAACTGTCTACCTTATATCACAAATAGCAAAACAACCCAAAGCAGGATAGAGAAGCTCTGAACATACACAGGCTTTCCAGTAACCATATCAGTAATGGCAGCATCACCAGAGTTTCAAGAACTTGGACCTATCATCCACGTTCTTACCAGAATAGTGAACAATCTTCTCCTTCACTTCAGCAAACTTGCAAGCAATGTGAGCTGTGTGACAATCAGCACAGGTGGATAGAGAGCACTGATTTGGCCTAGATGACTGAGGATAATCATCTAAGCAGTGAAGCCAGCTGCTTCCATCGGTGGGTCATTTTCGCTGTCACTAGCCATGTTGCCATGATGAATATCTTAGACGCATTGTTAACAGTGAAGCCCATATTGTCCCCAGGAAGAGCTTCATCAGAGCTTTATGGTGCATTTCAACAGACTTTACTTCAGCTGTATCATTGGCTAGAGCAAAGGTGACCATCAGGCCAGGGTTAAGAATACCAATCTCCACTGGACCCACAGAAACAGTACCAACACCACCAACTTTCAAAATATCCTGGAAAAGCAGATGCAAAGGCTTGTCATTTGGATGAGTTGGTGGCAAGAGTTAGGCAGAGTGAGGCTGAACTGAGATCCAGTGACAGCAAAGGCTTTACTTGATGCTTTTAAGTCTAAAGCTAATTGTCCTGCAGAGTTGCCCTACATTGAGAGAAGGATACAGGCATTTACACTCTTGTATTGACCAGTCATTAGATATAGGATGCCCAGGGAAGGTATATGACCCTGTGCAAGATCTATCTTCACAGAGTGATTATTCTTAGGGAAGGAGTCAGCTGACCACTCTCAGCCACCAATACTCCCAACATGAGGGTGGGGAGAGGAGTATTTTATTTCTGAAAGAGGTAGAGATGATATCTAAACAATATACTAGAGTATTCACTATAGTTGCCTAGATAAATATTAAAATCATGATGTTAATTATAATCACACATATGGCATTCAAACTAAACATCCACATACATCTTGATAACAATTTACAAAAGCAATTTGATTGATACATGATAGTATACCAAGAATATTAAAGTTCAAATGAAAATCCCCTTTGACCAAGTAGAAGACTGTGTGTGGATAAAACAACTCAAAAGCTAAATTACAAAGGGGAGAAGCAATGCTCAAAGGCCTAGGGAAGTAATGAATATTTTTATGAAGGTGAACATGGGAAATATAAAAACCATATAATCATTTGAAATTAAGATATATTACATTTTTTAATAAAGTTTTAAATGTTTTGATGTTTTCTAATAAAGTATAAAATATTTTGATCAAAATATTGTTCTTCCTCTCTATCAGATTAATTTTATGCATATATTTTTATTGTTATATGTTTAAGTTTTGTTTCAAGCATAAAGAAAATCAAATTATTTTTAATGGTTCTTTTAAAAAGCAAATGTACTTAACTCCCTTATCATTTCATTTTCCTGAAAGTTTATCCTTTTGATGGTTGTATCTTTCATTCAATGAATAGCCACATATTTTGAATCTGAAGTATAAGATTGTACCCGATGAATACTGTAACTCAAACTATGACAAATCCAGCAGCTGCCTGATATCATAATGTTATTATTGTCTTCCAAGCAGGGTGTGTCTTATATAGTGTCCCACCATAATCTCTTAGGTCTCTTTCTCTTGTTCAAACAAATCATATATTTTAATTGACATATTTGTTTGAATGATCAATGTTTACAACTTTTT